AAATATTTAAGAAATCGTTCGGGCTAGGCAATGATAGATGGCAGCGCCCATCAACTAGGACAACCTACAGTAGCATGGATCATCGATGCTTGTACAGCTGGAACAGCAAATGACATAGTATGTAATTGAATTCTTATCTATAAACGAAATGGTTTGGAATAAAAGCGATGATCTTGCGACAGGAAAATATCATAATGACGAACACTAAATATAGCAAGGACTTCGACCACTTTACAGTAATTAAGGAGGTTCTGTTTCTAGGCAACGATAGATGGCTGTCCCATCACTAAGACAGTCAGATAGCTGAACAATCATCTTCCCGCACAAGGATATTCAAAAATACACGTGGACATCACCGAGTGGCAATATATCACATATGCGTTAGTAGAAAATGGAAAAGCTCTTTCTATCAGACGTCTGAAACCAAAGAGTAGCTGACAGAGCTTACCATAGATGAACTCAAGAACAAATTGAAATGTCCAAGAAGAAATACAAGACCATCTAGGTGAAAATTATTACGCCTTTAAAAGTTCAAGAAGAACACAGCCAGATTTACCCTAGCCACGGTACTATGCGAAAATATACCAATAAACAGTAACCGTACATGGGAATATATCATCATTTTGCGAAAGAAATAGACGTAGTCACAGAACATTTGGAACCTAATTTCTCAAAGAGGGGAACTCATGTTGCAGCTGAGCACCAACAACATCAAATACAAGCGCAGAAAGCTATAAAGGAGGAAGATCAGCTAGTCAGAACAATATGAGAAAACTATACCGAACTATAGATAGTCTCACAAATATAAGCAGGAGTCAAGCAATAAGAGATCGTAATCCCAGGCTACTAGCAAACAATGATGATTAAATTCAAAGATGAAGAGAATATTTCAATGAAATTAGTAACGTCAGAAACGCCGCTGTTCAATAGCGACTCAATGGAAGATATGCTGAATATACGGTATAACATTATCAGCATGAACAAAATTAAACGTGTAAAAAGAGGAGCGGAATCTTTATAATCAAAAACTGAAAGCTGGATCTAAATTACTTCGACCTCATATCATATCGACTTCGGAGAAATGCACCGCAAAAAACATCCCTTCATGTGCAAGGTGAGAACTGATAGCTGTTGTGTATCTATGGTTAGGCTAAGTTAGATTAGTTTAAGTAGTTCTTAAGGAAAAATGTTTCAAACTGTGTTTTAATTTTCCTCCAGCTCTTAACTTCAAGAAAACTTTCGAGATCATCAGACGAACTGCCAAATGGGTAGCATTGAGCAAAGAGAGTGCACTTAGGAAAATAATTCAAAAATATGAACGATGTACGAGAACGCAGAACTCTCAGTTCTTCACAACGGGAACATAAGCAAATTGTTTCTCACCGACGAGGGAGTAAAGCAAGGATGTCTTCAGTCAACCCCTACATTTCACAATTTTACTGGGTGAAATGAGGTCTGCTCTCAGAGAAGAGGCATAACATAGAGGCTCTCACGGAAACTCGTGGACATGATTTATGCGTAGGATGTCTGCCTTCTCTCACAAGAACTGAAAGACCTGGAGAGACTGGTTCGCAAATCAAGGTCGTGCAAGAAACATCTGGAGATGCACCAATACCCAAGACAAAATAACCTTACTTGGAAAGATAAAAAAACTTCAACTATGCAAGTAAAATGCCGATGCTTCAGGGATTAGGCTTCCCTAAAGCATCAAGAGGAATAGCAGTAAAATAAGTAAAGATTATTAATGCTTAATTTATTAACGTTTGCTTACAGATATATTATAAACCTTCGTCCCGTGTTCAAATCCTTCAGGAGGAGCAAAAAATCTTTCAAAGGCACTTTCGAATATGAAATGCATCCGAAGACCCTCGACATAATACATAATAAGAATGACAGTAGATATTAAATCAAGAATCCCAACGACAGCAAAAATCCAAGAATGTGTTTTCGAAATGAAATGTAAAAAGTGGATTACATCTTCCTCCAGATGCCTCCTGACATTCTATAATCAACAGCAGCAAGTGAGGATAACACAAAATAGGAATGGCATGAGGTAGCGCCACCTGGAGTCAAATGGCAACACTCATTAAAGCAAGAACAGTGGTTGGCACTGCAGTATATTCAAGGAGATGTTGTTTCTAGGCGACGATAGATGGCAGGCTACATCAGACCAATAATCTAATTATCAATAGTTCAAACGTCGTGAATTTCGGCCGGATAAGGATAACACCAAAATAGGCATGAGGACATTTCTTTCTAGGCAACGATAGATGGCACTCACTTAGGACAGGCTAAAGTAAACCAGCCATTCACTTAGCAACAATTAAAACGTGAATTTCGGCCGGACCCTTCATCATGCTGTGGAGTTCCATAGGCTGCAACGAAACTTTAGTCGGTAGTAATAGTTTTGGTAGGGAGATTTTCCACCAAATGAGAATAAAAAAATACTTTTTCACCATCCAAGAACTCGAAATACCCAATTATGCTGTTCAAACCCTAAAAATGTCAAAAATGATGCGGGACCATCTTTGTATGAGGCCGGCCTTAAATGAACTGGGGTTCGCCCTGGTTCCAAATCAAGGAGCTGGGCCAAATTTCATAACATGCGGATGTTAAATGTGACCTATATGTCTGAATAAATAATTGCCCTTTTAGATGTAATCAATAGATATGGGCGGACAGTCAATAGAACCTCTATTACAGTTCATCAATCTATAAAACGAACCTTGAGAAATCGTAAAATAACAAATAAAATATCTCAAATATTTTTTTACTTTGAACCAAACCAATTAAATCGAAAGTTATAATGATTTTTAAAAATTCGTAGTATGTACCTCTATCGAGAGAGTCATCTGGTACCATGGTTTATATTTTCCGATTTTTTACATATTTATTGTTATCGGCATCCCTAATACCTATAAAATAATCGCCTTTTATAATGTAATAAGTTACTTGTGTTGCCATTGATGTTTTCTCTAAATTGTATAGCATACTTTTAGGCGTTATTTAGGGAATGGTCATGTTAACACAAAAGACTTAAGACACAAGCATAAAGATATATATTTTATTATGGTTCCACTTTTATATCCTCATCACAATTAAAATCTATATAAAAATTATTAATTCCGTCATGTTCAATCATGCAAAAAAATATCCTGCTACTAGATCTTAACACATAACATGCATACATTCAAATGTCCAGATCTAGGTTTTAGTAAAACAGGCATTCTGGAGAGGAATAGCGGCGAGCGAGCAAGAGACAGAGGTTATTTCTTTTCGTTTCAAATCTCCATATATATGTATATGTATGTGTGTATTTTTGGTGTATTTGTGTATAATTGTATGCATTCAGCTGTGTTTCTTGTGAGTTTGTGATTTCTAATTAATTTTTTTTTGTTTTGATTCGAAAAAACATGATTTAAGCCAATGATTTCACTACAGAAAGAAAGAAAAACGAAAAAGTTAGGAAGAAGAGTCAGGCAAGAATAGTCAATGGAGGGGATGTGGAGCCAAAATTTCTAAAATGTCAAGTGTTGGGTGTGTGTTTGTGTTCATCTCCAAGGGGTTAAGTGTGTTTTCTTTGAGAAATGTAATTGTGTTCGTGTGGGTGTGTGTTTCCGTACATTTATAAGCCATGTTTTTCTTGTTGATTTTTTTAGAATTCCAATGAAAGCCCACTACAAGTTTGGTGAATGTTTTTTTGGATGCAGCATTAAGAAAAAGAGATAGTTGTTGGCTGGAGAGTTTTTTTGGATCTCCATTAGATCGTTGCAATACCTTGATTTAGTTGACGTTTGGGGCCTTGGAGTGGTAGTGGTGGTTGTAGTCGTTGTTGTGGTGGTAGTTGTCCTTGTAGTGGTTGGCCTAGGAGTGGTGGTTGTGGTCGTGGTTGTTGTACTAGTCGTCGAGGTACTTGTGGTGGGATTACGCACAGTTGTACTGGGTGCTGTACTTCTTGTCGAGGCCTGTGTAACTTCCGAGCGCACCTGATTGACGATGCGATTATCTTGTGGTAGCTTTCCACGATTATAATTATCGTTATTGATTTTCACCACAGTGGTGGGTATATCGGGACGTTGTACCTTATCATTGTAATAATAATCGGGATCATCAATATATTCCGTTTCATAGACATATTCATCATTGTTGTTGTTGTTGCTATTGCCATTTGTCAGGGAGACATTTATCGCGGAGGGTTGTCTGGGTGGTAAAGGTGTCGTCAATGTACTGTAATAATTCCTTTCATCATTGATCAACAGGCTGCGTACCGTCGAAGAGGGTCCATTGAGGGTTTTAATGGCCACTTGTTCATTCCTTTTGTTTTTTTGGGTTGGGATGGGGATGATCATCAATGTGGTTGGTCAATAAATTTTGTTGGTGATTGTTGTTGTAGGTGGTGTTGTGAGTATATCATAAGGTGTAGATTTTTCGTGATTGTGGTAAGAATAGGAAAGTAGGAGAATTTTTGGGATAAAGAACAATGTTGAACATAAAAATTAAATTTTGATGTTGGTTTTTAAAAGTTAGGAAATTGTTGTTGTTTTTGTTATGATTTTGAGTAGTTTTTCTGTGTTTCAAATTGTTTTGTTTTTTTATTTTTTGCATGGAGATTCTATGAGAGATGGTCATGGCCTGGGAATTGCTTAAAGGTCACAACAATTACAAAAACAAACATTCTGGACACAGAGGACACATACACAGACATGCCTTAAAAACAATTTTTTTGGAATGGAATGCGAAGCCTATAATTTTGTGTGTTGATATTTTTTCATAAATAAAATGATTATCAATTTTTTATATTCAATGCGCAAGGTTAGTTATTTTGGGGGGTTAGCATGATTTTTTAATTTTTTTGTTTATATATAAATAATGATTTTTTCTCGGGGGAGGTTTTGTATTATTAACTTGTTGTCTTATTTTCAGGTGTTATGGCGTGTTGTTGTTTTTGGAATATTAATATTAAATAGCCGAGGTTTTGAGAAGCGGTTTATGGGACTTACCTTGATGGTGGTGGTCTTGTGGGTTGATCGTAGGCATTATCTTGTTCGATCTGGAAAAATATAAAAAATAAAATGTAAAGAAATGTAAATGTAAGATTTTTTTAACCTAGGCGGGGATTTTTTAAAGTATATTATTTGAGGACTTAGAGAGGCGTGGATTTTTTAAAGAATATTTTTAGGATTTATTAAAAAAATATTTTTTAGAGGTCTTACAGATGCGTGGATTTATTAAAAAATATTTTTTAGAGTTCGTACAGAGGCGTGGATTTATTAAAAAATATTTTTTAGAGGTCTCACAGAGGCGTGGATTTATTAAAAAATATTTTTTAGAGGTCTCACAGAAGCGTGGATTTATTAAAAAATATTTTTTAGAGGTCTTACAGAGGCGTGGATATTTGAAAGAATATTTTTTAGAGGTCTCACAGAGGCGTGGATATTTGAAAGAATATTTTTTAGAGGTCTCACAGAGGCGTGGATATTTGAAAGAATATTTTTTAGAGGTCTCACAGAGGTGTGGATATATGAAGGAATATTTTTTAGAGGTCTCACAGAGGCGTGGATATTTGAAAGAATATTTTTTAGAGGTCTCACAGAGGCGTGTGTATTTGAAAGAATATTTTTTAGAGGTCTCACAGAGGCGTGGGTATTTGAAAGAATATTTTTTAGAGGCCTCACAGAGGCGTGGATATTTGAAAGAATATTTATAAAGTCTAAAGAATATTTTTTTGAGGTCTAACAGAGGCCTGGATTTAATAAAAATATTTTGAGATTTAAAGAATATTTTTTGAGGTCTAACAGGGGCGTGGATTTTTAACAAATATTTTTTGAGGTCTAACAGGGGCGTGGATTTTTAACAAATATTTTTTGAGGCCTAAAGAATATTTTGTGGGGGTCCAGCGGAGGCGTGGCTTTTCAAAAAAATATTTTTGGAGTCCTAAAGAATATTTTTTAGGGGTCCAACAGAGGCGTCGATTTTTTAAAGAATATTTTTTGGAGTCTAGAAAATATTTTTTAGGGGTCCAAAAGAGCCGTGGATTTTTTAAAGAATATTTTTTGGAGTCTAGATAATATTTTTAGGGGTCCAACAGAGGCGTGGATTTTTTAAAGAATATTTTATGGAGTCTAGAGATTATTTTTAGGGGTCCAACAGAGGCGTGGATTTTTTAAAGAATATTTTTTGGAGTCTAGAGCATATTTTTTACGGGTCCAACAGAGGCGTGGATTTTTTAAAGAATATTTTTTGGAGTCTAGAGAATATTTTTTAGGGGTCAACAGAGGAGTGGAGTTTTTAAAGAATATTTTTTGGAGTCTAGAGAATATTTTTTAGGGGTCAACAAAGGCGTGGATTTTTTAAAGAATATTTTTTGGAGTCTAGAGAATATTTTTTAAAGGTCCAACAGAGGCGTGGATTTTTTAAAGAATTTTTTTTTGGAGCCTAGAGAATATTTTTTAGGGGTCCAACAGAGGCGTGGATTTTTTAAAGAATTTTTTTTTGGAGCCTAGAGAATATTTTTTAGGGGTCCAACAGAGGCGTGGATTTTTTAAAAATATTTTTTTGAAGGCGTGGATTTTTTTAAAAAAATTTTTTGAAGGCGTGGATTTTTTTAAAAAGATATTTTTGAAGGCGTGGATTTTTTTTTAAATATTTTTTTGAAGGCGGGGGTTTTATAAAAAGTATTTTTTTGAAGGCGTGAATTTTTTTAAAAAATATTTTTTTGAAGGCGTGAATTTTTTTTGAAAAATATTTTTGTTTGAAGGCGTGAATTTTTTTAAAAATATTTTTTCAAGTCGTGGATTTTTTTAAAAAGGCGTGAATTTTTTTAAAAATATTTTTTTTGAAGGCGTTAATTTTTTTAAATAAAATTTTTTTTTGAAGGCGTGGATTTTTTTAAAAAATATTTTTGTTGAAGGCGTGGATTTTTTAAAAATATTTTGTTGAAGGCGTGGCTTAATTGAAGGCGTGGATTTTTTAAAAAAAAATATTTTTTTGAAGACGTGGATTTTTTAAAAAAAATATTTTTTTGAAGGCGTGGATTTTTAAAAAAAAAATATTTTTTTGAAGGCGTGGATTTTTTTCAAAAAATATTTTTTGAAGGCGTGGATTTTTAAAGAATATTTTTTTGAAGGCGTGGATTTTTAAAGAATATTTTTTTGAAGGCGTGGATTTTTTAAAAAAAATATTTTTTTGAAGGCGTGGATTTTTTAAAAAATATTTTTTTGAAGGCGTGGATTTTTTTCAAAAAATATTTTTTTGAAGGCGTGGATTTTTTAAAAAAAAAAATATTTTTTTGAAGGCGTGGATTTTTTTCAAAAAATATTTTTTTGAAGGCGTGGATTTTTTCAAAAAACTTTTTTTTATATTTGTTTTCTTAAATTCTAAGTGATCTCATTTATACATACCTGGGCAATCAGATCTTCATCATAATCGGAATTATAGACCAACGGCTGTTGATTCGTATACGTTGGTCTTTCTTGTGGTTGTTGTTGCTGCTGCTGTTTGGGGGCAGGTTGTGGTTTATAAGTTTCTCGTAGCGCTGATTGCGGTGCTGGAGCGGGTGTTGTGAAAACATCCAATGGGCGATAGGTCGATTGGCGAATAGGTTGCTGATATTGTTGTTGCTGTTGCTGCTGCTGTTGTTGTTGTTGGTATTCTATGTCCCTATACAAATCGATATCATCGTCATAAACAGAATAATAGTTATCATAAGGACTTTGTTCAGATTGTTGGATATCTGATTGTGGTATTAGTTGCGGTTGTTGTTCTTGTTGTTGTTGTTGTTGAGATGAATGTTGGGGTATAAATTGATGGGGTTGTTGTTGATGTTGGTGTTGTTGTTGTGGTATATATGAGACAACATCAACATTATGATTGTTATTGTTATTATTATTTTTATGATTGTTGTTGTTGTTATTGTTATTATAGTTCGTGGATACCGATGTTGTATTATAGTAATTGCGATTGGGACTGAATGGCTGGGGCTGAGCCAGAGTTGGTAATGGCGGTGGCAATTGTTGTTGCTGTTGTTGATGACGATAATGATTTTGGGTTTGTGTCGATGGTATGGTCTCAACAATCACTTGCTGATGTTCTTGTAATAAATGGTGTTGTTGTTGCTGTTCCTGTTGGATTTGTTGTTGTTGTTGATGATGATGTTGTTGTGGTGTTGGCCTGATATTTTGCAAGAAAATATTGGCCGGTGTTGCCGTTTGTGAATGTATTGATGGTGATGAAGATTCAATTCTGTGTTTCGATTTTTGTTTGGATTTGTGTAATGGGATTTTTTGTTGTTGTTTTTTCGTTTGTGTGTGGTATTACAAGCCATTATTATATACAAACAATTTTATTATAATTTAGATTTTGTTTTTGGATATATATTATTTTGGGGTTTTAATGTGAATGTGGTTTATAACAATGATATATATTTAAATTTGATATTTTTTGTTTGTTTTTTGATATATACACACAAAAAAAGAAAATGAAAAAATAAAATAAATGTTTATGATTAGTTTTGTGTTTTTTTACACAATTAAATACAAATTAAATACAGCTACAGACTAGTTTTTTAATATACACAAACAAATAATTTTTGAAATAAACAAAAATAATGGAGGTTAGTAGAAGCATAGATAAAAAGTTGAGAGGGAGAAGGAGTGAGAGAGATAGAAAGTTATGAGATGAAGTTTTGTATGTATAAATGGTGTTAGAAAGCATTAGTAAGAGAAAGGAAGAATAGTTAGATAAAGGATAGAACTAAAAAGTAGTCGAAATGAAATTTCCATGAAAATTCTATTCAAAAAATCACATATACAAATTAAAAATTATTATTAATATATTAATAATTAAAAAAAATATTTGCTGTTTCTTTAGGTATTTTTTGAATGACTAAGTGAACTTTAATCAGAGCTAAAGGGGTGGATTTTTTATTGAAATTATGATGAGATTGTTGGACTTTTTTAAAAAATGTTTTCACAGCAATTTTGTGAATTTAAATATGTTTTTTTTTAAATATGGGCTTTAAATATTTTTTAAAGAACTGTCTAAGCGAGAACTTTTCCAAACATATTTTTAAAGAACTATTGAAGCGTGATTTTTTTGCAGAACTGCTTCGAAGGACCTATAAGAGTAGATTTTAAGGAATATTTTCCCATGGCTGACACAGTTCTAATCGTGGCTTTTTTTAAGAACTATAAGAGTTCCAAGTTCAGATGTTTTTATGAATATCCTAGTTGTAAACGTAGATTTTTAACCGACTACAGAAACTCTGAATGAGGATTTTGTTAAGCATTTTTTAATGGTCTATCCCTAGATTTTTTAAAAGGAAAACATTAAGGGGACCATCGAATTTTTGTACAGAATATTTTAGAGGATTATTAAAGCTTAAATCGTGGACATATTAAGAATATTTTAATTTCATATGTTAATTTTCTAAGAAAAATAAATAAATAAAAATATTTTTAAAGAGTTCCCAGTGTGTAGTTGTTATTGAATATTTTTAAAGGACAATTAGAGCTCCAAGCGTGGATTTTTAACAATAATTTAAAAAGACTGTCATTGTTTCAGATAGGGATTCTTAAAGCATAATTTTTAAAGGACTATCACCGCTGTAAAACTTTTTTTCGATAATATTTTTAAAGGGATATCAGAGCTGTAAATTTTTTTAAGTATATGTGTAAATGTCTATCAAGGCTCTGAACGTGGATTATATGCGTGGAAATGTGTATAAGCTAGCCCCGTAAATGTTTATGTATATTTTAGGAGACTATCAGAGCTTCAATTGTTGGTTTTAAAATAATATTTCTAAAAGACTTTCACATCTTGAAACCTTGTTATGGAATATTTTCAAAGGGTTATCAGAACTCTAATGGTGGATCGTTTAAGGGATATTTAAATACAATATGTTTAAAAAATCTAAAAGAACTTATGAGAATTAGTATCGCGATCCGAACTTTAGTCTACTCTGACTTAACCCTTGTTGATTATTTATCCACAAATAAATCGTTCTTTTGGGATTGATCCTGCCTTTTTTAAAAATATAGAAAATCTTAATAACTTTATCTACACTATAAAGATTTTTAGAGTTCTAAGCATGCCTTTGGTTTTTAAATAATGACCTCCTTAACATAGTGTCGTCTTTAAAGATATTTGTTAAAAATCTCAACACTAATATATTGTGGAATATATATAGAGCTTTACAGAGAATATATCCGAAAGGACTATAAATAAATTAAACATATATTTTATTTTTTTTTATTCAAGTAATAATATAAATTTTATGATTTGTTTATTATTTTACCAATTTTTCTTATTATAATACCATAATGATGATGGACTATGGTACGTATAAGTAATGACATCTGTTATACGCTCTGATGTACTCAATGCATTAAAAATAATTATAATTTTTAATAACCTAATTTTCTTATAAAATAACTGATAAAAAATTACAATAATTGCTAATTTTTATAACTTCGATAAAACATTTTTTTTCGTGTTCTACAGCTCTTCACAGCAATTATATTCTGTTCAATTGGTCGAAAAATTAAAACAACAAATATTTCAGATGAATAGAATTTCATGGTTTTCATGGTAAGACATAAGAGAGGATAATAAGAGAAATTGTAGGATAGTATTTACAGTTGACAGAGTTGCATATCGTTGATATATTTCAGAAAAAAATTGAAACTGGATAATTAAATTATATACCTAGATATAAAAATCATGTCGTAGCACTAACTGAAAATTTGTGGTGAGAATACAGGATACAGAAAATTCTAGAAGTCTAATAAAATAAATACAAAAATTAAATTAAAAATAATATGGCCCTCAGAAGTGAGGGCCATATTATTTTTAAGGACAGAAGACAAATCTAAATGGTCGAAAATCGACTAATAAATGTAGGTTTCTCAAAAATTTTTTAAAGCGTAGATTTTATGAAATATTGTTTTTATTTTTTTAAGTTTAATTTATTTGTCAGCCATTAAAAAATAGTTAAAATATTTTAAAAATTTTATTTTTTCAAAGAATCAAATCCTTTTTTTTACATAACACAGCTATGTTATAAGGGTATTATAGCTGTTTGTGTAACTCCGCGAAATATTGGTCATATCGCCATATCTTGACTAGCTGAGTCGATCTAGCCCTGTGTTTCCGTATGTCCGTCCATCCGTGTATGAACGGTTGTAGTCAGAGAAGACCCCTATTGTTAAAGATCCGTTAATATTTTGGCGGTGAAATAGACCAAAAACTTTGTTTTTGTCTGTTTTTCTGATCGCGCTAGAGGCCACATTTACGACCCGAACATCACGAAATTTTACACAGATAAAGGTGTTTGACCATAGATTAAGTTTAGCAGGTCAAATGGACCCTTTTGTGTCAAAAATTACAAAATTTTTATTCTGGAGCGTATATATTTACTCCCGAAGAACATAGACCTGAGAAGTTGATAGTATATCCAAGAGGGGTGATTGACCCTTAATTTTATATCAATTATTGTTGTTGTATGTACTCGAATGTGGAAGTTATCCGTAAATATTTAAAGGTATCTATGTGTTATGATATTGTTCAGTATTACTATTTCCCCACTAGAGGGCGGAAATGTCGAGCTGATCACTTTGAAATTTTACATGAAGTTCCGGTTATGGCCAAGGACGACGCCCATAATTAGCGGTGATGTTAAGATGATATTTAGATGGTGCAATGAACCGAAAACATTATATTTGTGAGATTTTGTACTCGCTCTAAATGAACCAAAACATAAGGTGACCAAAGATTTGGAAAATATGCCAGGGTTTGAAAGTGTATCTGTACTCGGTCATGAGGGTGCAAATATTGTATCGTCCGATTTAATGTAAATGGTGCACCAAAGTCCCTATATACCTTTCGATTTGCACGAAACTTGGTACAACGTACTGAATTAAATTTGGAGTAATGTTTGGTAAGTTTCGTGAAAATTGGTTCAAATTTAGAAATGTCTCCACCTAAGTCTCTAAATATCTTTCGATTTGCATGAAATTCTGCTCAGCGTACTGAATAGGGCCTGGAGTCATGTTTGCCAAGTTTCGTGAAAATCGGTTTCGATTTAGATATAGCTTCCATATATATATTTTCGTCCAATTTAATGTTAATGGTGCACCAAAGTCCCTACATATCATTCGATTTGTACGAAATTTTGCACAGCGTACTGAAGTGGGTCTGGAATGAAGTGTGCTGGGTGTAGTGAAAATCGGTTCAGATTTAGATATAGCTCCAATCTGCGAATTATATTCAATTTTTCGAACCTAGGTTCGAACCTAGAGCATATAAAACCCAAAAATATCAATGATATAAATACTTCATTCATTTGTTTACATTTTTAATTAATATATAATAAATTAGTAATGCTTATTATGGCCTAATGTTGCAACGCCTAAAAGTATGCAATGCTATTTGTACATGGCTCTTCTCTATGGAATTATTGAATATTTAAGTATTTAACAATTTTTACTCATTTGGAGTAACTTTTTTTTAAAAAAAAGTAAATAAAATAAAAAAAAAACATAATTGTTAGAAGAAATCCGTTACTCCTAAAAACACTGCCAAGTAATTTATTTTGATGTATGATAGAACATCTCCAATAGCTTTATAACAAAATAAAATAATTATCTGCCTATTAAATTTTTTATTTGAAAATTAAATATTTAAAAAGTTTAAAAAGTTATCTTCCGTGCTTTAAAATATATTTTTTACATTTTTTTCTGAAATATATCAACATTGGCAACTCTGTTCTTATTATATATAGATTTTCAGTTATTATCGTCATGGGTATTTTTTCTGGGAGTTTTTTGGATGTCCTGGGGTTTTATCTTTTAGTCAAATCTCTGTTAAAAAACTGTACAAGACTTTTTATTTATATTTGGTTTTAGTCCCACTGGGAGGTATTCACAGGTTTGGTCGTAGAACCCCAAACGTATTTACAGCAATATATAGTGTCATTTTGTTTTTTGTTTTAATATATTGGATTTTCTTTCTCAAAATCGGGAAAGAAAGGGGAGGATTATTTAAGAATTTTTTTTATACAAAACAGGGTAGGGGGTTAAACAAAAAATGTTGTTATAATTTTTTATGTATTTTTTGTGTTTAGTTTTTTTTTTCTGGTTTCTTGAGGTTTGGGTATTCATTCTGAACAACAAAAACGAAAAAAAATTGGGGGAAAGTTGTTGATTTCTATTTCAATCAACTTACACACTATACCTGTTGGGTCCGTTCATGTCCATGGGCATTATTAAGTTATTGCTGCCGCTTCCACTGGAAGAAGATGCCAATTGTTGGGGACGTTTTCTAATGCCTATTTGGGGTTTATCCTTTAGGTCAATGGTCATGAATTTTGTACCACTATTTTGATTGTTGTTGTTGCTATTACTAATTGTGTTGTTGTTGCTGTTCTGATTTTGTGTCTTCCATTTATTTTGTCCACGATTACGATTCGGTCTAATGGTATAACGCATTTTGGGTATTGTCGTGGTTGTACTCGAGGTCATGGGTCGGGGTGTGGTCGATGTGGTAGTCGTGGTCGTTGTAGTCGTAGTTGTTGTCGAGGTCGTGGAGCTGATCTGTGGTCTCAGGGGAGGTGAGGGTAATTTTTGTTTAATTTCTTGGAAATAATCACTGGGGAAATTAATGAAGGAGGGTATCTGATTTGGTTGCTGTGATGGCTGCTGCTGATCCTGCTCTTGGTTATTATTTTGTTGATAGAATTGTTGGAACTGTTGATGGGCCACCCAGAATGGGCGGCGTGTGGTGGTCACCTGCACAAAGCCTGTATCGTATTGATGGTGATAATTATTTTTATTGGGATTTTCGGTGGGTTTCAGGGGTGGTGGCATCATTTCTTGCCGGGGTGGAGCCATGGTTTCGGTCATTGGCATATAGGGTGGCATTTGTGAGGGTGGCAGAACATCTACATCCTCTTCTTCTTCCTCCTCTTCATATTCTTCCTCATAATAGTCCGCGGGGGAGGGTGGTGGAGGGCGAGGTTTTGTGGTGGTCGTCGTTTTCAAACTATTCAAATACGATTCATAACCCTTTGAGGGCCTACGGGTGGTAATCAAAGGCACTGCTGGAGTAGTGGGCCTATAGGTCACCTCATTGATGTTCAGGGTGCCGGGTGTCACCGAGGTGGGAGGTCTTTCCTTATGCATTTCCTTGACATATTTCAACATATCCACCACGGCGGGATTTAAATGGGCCATATCCTGACTTTGGAGATTCGATATAAATTCGGGTAGATCAAATTGTAATTTAATGGGTTTACTTTGTGGGCCGGAGGAGGGTCTTACGCGTAGTGGCAATTCTGTAGTGGTGCTGTGCAAAAAGCTTTGATATGATTCGGGGGCCGTGGAGCCATTGGCATAGGTTATGCCATTTGCGAACTGTTCGAACCCAGGAAATTTACCCAATTGTGGGGCGGAAACAATATTTATATTCGATGTGGTGAGGGGGGCTTGAGATGTCTGCGGTTTCAGGGTGCTATAGAAGTTCTTCATTTTTTGATTGGCAATTAAATTATATTGGAAATAATTACTTTCGGTGGTGGTGCTTAGATCGTAATGGGGATCCTCTTGATAGCTTTGGGCGGGATATTTGTTTTGTTGATATCCGACGAGAGGGAAATTTTTATTGTTATAAAATCCGCCCACAGTGCTAATTTGTGAAAAGTGAGAATTGGGTGTCACCTTGTTGGGAGAGCTTTTGTAATTCTGCACCGAGGCTGGGGTGGTGCGCTCATTCAGTGGCTGATTATCCAAGTGGAAGTAACTGAAATTGGTGGCCTGCAATTTTTTCCTTTGCTCCTTCAACTCCTTGAGGGATTGTAAAATGTAGGGCAGTAAATCCGGTTGATATTGCCCCGGCCTGAGGGTACTGCTACCTATGATGGAAGTGGAAGTCGGGGTATAGTAATTTCCCACCATGGGCCGAAAATCATTGGCATTCTCCTTGGGTGGTGGTGGCAGGGAGAGATTGTAACCGGTATACACCACCTTGGGTTTTTGTTTATAATTTTGTGAAACCTGACCTGCTGTTTGATAGTTATTGGTCTTATAATTCGAATTTACCGAATTGAGAGGTGCATAGGCCGGTGTCGAGGGTGGTGAGAGATATGGGTTAAATGACCCAAAGTTATAGGGCGAGGAAGTTTGTTGATAGGCTTGAGGATGATATTGTTGTTGCTGTTGATAGGGATTTGAATCGATGGACCGATAATTGTGACCCTGACCCGATGTGGTCCATTGTATGCGTGGTCTGGCATTTGGTGTTTGACTATAGGGCCTTAATTGACGTATGGTTCTGATATTTGATTCGGCCACAGCATTATCATTGGTATCCACATATTCCATATCTTCCATGTTTTCATCAGGGGAGCGGGTTATGATTTCGGTGGGAATATTTTCGGGATTTAGGGTTGGTAGTTCCGTGGCAAGGGGTTGGACTCCTTCTTCATTGTTTTTCTTTGATAAATCCTCCTGATTATCATCTTCTTTGTTTATCGGTACTTCAGTTTTATTTTCTGTATTTTCGGGGTTTTGCTCCTCTTCCTGAGAATTTTCTTTAATTTCCTCAATTTTCAAATCTTTGGCCAAAGAAATTCTCTTCATTTCCTCTTTTCCTTTCGAGGTCTTTTCCGCATCATTTTCACTTCCCTCCTGGTCTTTCAGGGCCTCAGCAGTCTTTAGTAGATTTTGGGTTTCCTCCATATCTTTGCTGATTTTATTTTTCATTAAATCCATGAGCTCCTCAGGATTGGAGACCCTATATTCCGAACCATAGAGTTCCTCTACCAATGTCGAAATTTCCTTCATAGTTTCCTCAGTGGCGGAGGAGGAGGCGCCCAACTTTTCTTCCTCCTCATCAACCTTTTTAACCTCCCCTTTTACCTCGTCCTCAACTTCTTTCGATTTGTCCGTCGATGTCTGTTCATCTAAATCACGTTTCATGCGGCGATGGGTATTGAGGTCAAGATCTTTGGAGTCTACAATGTATAAGTCATCATAGCCATTGTTGTTGTTGTTGTCTTCCTCTTCAAGTCTATTGTTGCTGGTCACTAAGTCAAGGTCTATGGTATTTGGTCTACAATATTTTGTATAAAGCAAACATAAGTCAAGTCCGGTTCGGTATATATCAGTCCATTGCATGGTAGTGGTGCAGTTGCAAATGCATTTTTTTGATTTTCAAAATTGAGTTTTGAAAATGTTGTTATGATTTTTTTTGAAGTATGAAAAAATATTTTGCATTTTCATTATGAAGTATAGAGTATAGTAAGTAAATAGTAAAAAAAGTAGAAGAAAATAGCATTAAATGAGTATTGAATTAAAATAGATAATAGATAACAACAATAAATAAAAGCAAAGATAAAGAATTACGATTATTAATATTTTTTTCATTTTGCCAAAATCAATAAAAGCCAGTGTGAAATAAAATACGTAGTGAAATGAAATAAAAAAGTCGCTAGCGAATTATCCTTAAAATGTGTCTGAATTGATTTGACATGCCTTATAAGCTTTTGCATATTCTTCGTGTCTGCCATCACTTACCTGTATTGTGAGCCAAAATTATAAGAACTATACTTGTCATTGCTGGGTATGGCATTAATGCTAGCCTGATGCAGAATACCATCACGATCCTTTTGCACTTGACTGACGGTGCTGGGTTGGCCACGATAAACACGCTGTTGACGATCACTTTCTTCTTCCTCAACGGGAGGTAAGCTGTCATGGGCATCGGCATAGAGCTGAAATTGCGAAAAGATATATACATTATTTACGATTTTTATATTAGGCTGAATTCCAATATTTCAATAGATGTTCTGAGCTATTTTCAGGAAATTTTATATCAGGTCTCTTAAAACTATCAACCAAAAACTTAAAGTGTGTACACTAGCTATATAATAGCTATATAATATGTCCCCGACTAATTTTTGGCTCTTCACTTCTGATTAATGCCAGCATATTAAGATGGGATCAATAGCAATCGGATCTTACCATTTCTCAAGGAACTGAAGGAACAAAGCAAAAATTATATACGCCACCAATTTCAGTTTTTTTCTATATGGATAATCGGTTATTGAACGAGCGCAACACCCCAGCCTCCGCTCAAAATTCCAAGAACTCTCCCAACAAGGTGACATTAAAATTCACAATTCACAAACCAATACCGTGGGAGAATTTCATAATCTATAAATTTACCCCTGGACGGATATCAACAAAATCAATTTCCATCGCAAAGCTATCATGGAGGCAAAGAGGATTCGATCTATGAGCTGTACTTCCCGAACTATGAGGGTACTTCTACAGAATGTAATTATTTCAAATATAATTTGATTGCCAATGACAAAATCAAAATATTTTCTAGCACCACAAAACCTTGGACATTTTAAGCCACTTTCAAAACTTGGAATATAAATATTTTCACACCATCGAAACAGGTTAAATTTTCAGGTTTCAAACAATTCGCAAATGGTATAACTTGTTGCAATGGCTCCATCGCACCGGAATATATATTCAATATCCAAAGTCAAAATATAGCACATTTAAATCTAGCCATGGTGGATATGTGGAAATATGTCAATGAAAGGCTCCCCAGTTCGATGATACCTGACACATAAGGTTACCAATAGGTCGCAAAGGGTTAGAAATCGGATGTGAATAGTTTGAAAACCAAGACTACCACTCCAGTTAACTACTACGATGATGAATATGAAGAGAAGGAAGAAGATATATATGTTATGTCACCATAAATACCGATGACACAGACCTTGGCCCCTACAAATCGTTTACATATTTCCATTTGTAACATAGTTATATTTCCGTTCGCCAGCCGTGATATAGTGGCAGTATCTTAAAAGTATATCAAGTATTGAAACTAGGTAAACTTATGGAAGTACATTGACTAAAAAACTGAACCTAGTTCCGATCATTCATTTTTGTGAATTTTTCTGTTCATTGTGACAAGCGGGGTTCTATATAATTTTGACACGGATATTCTCCGTGAAGTAATTTATTAATATAAAATGATTTGTTAAGAACTAAGTATGACAATATGACATAACCTATCTTAGACTAATGTGTAAAAGAGAGTGTCTGAACACATCTGCCATAACAAATGTAGTGAACACACGCATATCTTTAGCTCACATGTCGCAATCAAACACTCTATACAAGCTCATCAGTCTGTAGTACAGATTACTCCCCGAAATCTCATCCACAAACATTCAAGAAAAAAAATCTCTTATCTTAAATCGACAGTAGACTAAAATAGATCTCAGTTTAACTAAATTGTCTCTCCTTTACACAAGACACCTAGTGAACACACGTCGCTTCAAGGTTCTCACAAAAAAAAAAAAAAAAAAAAAAAAAAATTGTAGACTGAAACCAAATGTGCTCGAACATGAAACGATGATAAGACGACCCGGAAATGTTCTGTCGAAATGGTGAAATTAAAAATAGAACGAGCTAGAGTAAATGACAAACGAGTTTTTACTAAGTACAACTGAAGATATATATTTTTCTGATCTAGTTCTGTTGCCCCTTGAAATTAATCCTGCATTTGAAACAGTTTCTTCGTGAAGTACAGATCGTGAATTATCTGCAGATATGTCTAACGCTAGAAAAGGAATCTTTGACATATCATTTTACTGTCAAACTTGTTTAGGGATGATTTCCAAAAGGCTCGTTCTTCGACCAACCCGGTGAACTGCTCTGCCTGGTGAATATCGTTGTATAATCGTTCGGGTCTTTGTAAAGCATATATTCATTATACTTTTAGTGAATGTGGTTCGCCTGACATAACTCAGCTGCTCCTCCAGTGAATACTTTAATTGAACTTGGTCTTCATTTGGGAAAACGCGTCTGTGTTTGACAATCCCATTGAAGCAACGATCAGAGTTTAAAGTTTGTGATTTAGTTCGTGATGATTCTTAAATATTTCTAACAATTTAAAGTTAAGGAATTTGGTAAGAATCCTGCAAAACCATCATAAGAAATTAAAAAAAAAAAAAAAAATGAAATACAGAAGCTATTTTTATGAATCAAAAAAAAAAATAAATCAGTGGCGAATTAATGCCACCCCTCGGCGGACATGCCATACATTCCCCACTAAGAAATAGTTGTTTTTTATAAAAACAACAAACTGGGATTAAGCCTGACTATTTTGCAAAAACAAAATACAAATGGTATCCCAAATAACCCGCCAAACACTACCAAAAAAAATATACACACATTTTTATGAATCAAAAAATAAATCGAATTAATCCAGCAGCTCCTTTCGGTGAATACTTTGAATTGAACGTCTTCTTAAGCAACACTATAGTGTTGGGCAATCTCTTTGAGAGAACGGATAGGAATTTCTAGCTTCTTTTTACCAAAATAGCAAAAAGTTTCTTAATCGTATTTTTTGGTTTATGAATCGTTCGTAGGCACATTAAAAATAACTTCTGATCATCAGTTAAGCTGTCAAAATACATATTTTTCATTTGAAATCCATTAAAAAATGTTCCTAGAACCAGGAAGAGCAGATCAAGTAATGTTAATAATTCTGATTAAGTTCATGACGATTCTTAAAAATTTCTAATAATTTACAGTTCCGGAATTTGGCAAAACAGCTGATGAACCAGAAAAAAGTACACAGATTTTCATGAAAAAAAAAATCAAATCTGGATATTTTAATGCTAAAACTTCTAATGCAGTTCCTGATGATTATTAGATATTTTTAATGATATACGTTTCTCTTTCATTTATTTTTGGTTCGCAAAATGAACCAAGCAATTAATTTAGTTCCATAGTTCCTCTTATTTCAATTGTGTATTAGTACACGTCAGTTCATTTCGTGAATGTACGGGAATGATTGAATTAATAGGAACTTGGTGAAAGAATGAAAACATGAATGACTGGAACTAGATAAACGAAGGAAACATATCTAGTATCGATCGTTCCTTTTACAGAATTGTTCCTTTGAACAAGATCGCTCTGGAACGGTCCAACAAAACTTTTTTTCGCAAAATTAATTTGGTCCATAGTTAATTTTAGTTCAATAGTTCATAAGTGCATATCATTTAATTCAGTAAATTAACGGAAGATTTTGATGACCGATTGCATCGGAATAAAGTAGGCGAACTAGCGTAAAAATAAAACGATTGAAGCAAAAGGAAGGATAATGCCGATCGTTTCTTTGGCGGAATTGTTGCTTTGAACTAATCCGCCGCGGAGCTACCCAACTCTAGCTACTATGATAAATCGTCAATAATTTATACAGAAATGTGGGATACAATTATCATAAATGAGATGTTGTTAGACGCAATGTGTTCCGCAAAGGGAGGTAGGTAATTCATTTAGTTCCTTTAAGTTCTATAGTTCATTGAGACGCCAGTAAACGTGATGATGTAGATGAACGTTTGGATCAAAAAGAAACTTGGCAAACGAGAGCAAAAAATTGAAGGAGGAAGGCAAATATAACTATATGAAAGAAAGAAGTACCGCTCGTTCCTTTTGCTGAATAGTTCGTTTAAAGTGGTTCCCTCTGGAACGACTCAACTCTAGTTTCTGTATTAAATTGGTCATAAATTATAGAGAAGTGGAGGATAATGATCAGAAATTGGAGGTGGATTCTTATCATAATCGTTATGATATTCTCCATTTGTATATAAATTATACAGGAATGTATGATACCCTCCATGTGTATAAAATGTATCAAAAACTCTTGAAAATATGTCCACTAATCGTATTTAATAAAAGCATCGACCGTGAATATTCTATCCTCAAAATATTTAAGTTGAGATCCAAAAATTACTTACCTTAGCGATTTCCTCTTGGGCTTCCAATAAATGTTTGGGCTGGCCGCGGGATGTAATGACGGGATTGGGTGACACCTTCAGTTGGGGTGGTGGTGGTATAGTCTGAACTTGAGCCTGAATGACTTGTGGTGGTTGACGATGATATTGAGGTGGCACAGTGGGTTTCAAAACCTGTTGTTGTTGCAGCTGGCGAGGTTCCTGTTGCTGGGCCTGGGGACTGGTAAACGATGAACCAAAACGTATACGGCTAGGAACATGTTGTGGCTGTTGTTGCACTTGCTGCTGTTGTTGTTTGGTAATAACAACATCACGATCACCGCTATCGACAACTTCACAACCTACATTACGTGGCCAATCACATGTTTGCAGTTCATGTGAATACATTAGACCACCGGTACAACTTTCCAAAAGGGCGCCACCAAATACACAAACATAGTACTGAGTACAGTCTGTGGGATGGGGATAATAGCCGAATTCTTCGGGACAATCGAAATTGACACCATTCGAATTGGAATTGGACGATGACGAGGATGTGGAGGAACTTTTCACATTTGTGCCAAAACTGGTGCGTGAGCTGGTGATGCGGGATGAGCGTTTGCTTTGTGATTGGGCAGCTGAAATGAAATTTTAAGAAGAAAAATTAAATTAATAACAAAATTCAATTTTCTGTTTTATTTATTTGTACTAGAATTAAAGTTTAGCAAATGATCCCATTTGAGGTTTAGCCGCCAGCTTGTCTCGGTTTTTTTTTTCTTGAATTTTATAAAAAGGTCAACCAAAACAGTAGCCATTGGCTACTGGGTTTTTGCTTTTCTAATTAACTGTTTGACTAGACAATGGAACAATTGACGAGAATCAGCAGCAGCAGCTGACTGAAGATCATCATGTAATTTACGATTTATGTATTATTTTTTACTGCTGTTGTTTTTGTTACCTAGAACAACGATTCTTGGGACCACGATCGCCCGATATGTGTTAGTCTGTATGTGTTTTTTGTTGATATTGGCCATGTTATTGAATTTTAGAGTTTTGGTTTTATTTTGTGGTCTATTGTTTTACCGACTTGATGAGTTAGTTGGTCATAGATCGATTGCATGATTAACCATGACTTTTATAGTTGTTAGAATAAAAATGTTCATATCGTTGTTGGTTTTATTTTTCAGCGACGATGTTCTTATGGTTGTCAGAGGTTAGAATACTTGTAACATATGTATGGATCAGTTTGAAGTGATTTATTGTTTGATGTCTCATTGGATTTCACATGTCAAATAATTGAATATTAGTGGTTTATTGGATTTGGTGTGGCGGTGGTTGGTGGGGGATTTATTTTCAGATTAAGCGTGAATTTTATAACGAATATTTTTTCGGAAGGAAGGGGTGGCGTAAATCCACCCATCTTCAAATGAAATATATCTCAATGCACAAACAAAATTAAAGGAGACGTTGTTTCTAGGCTACAACAGACAAATCATCTACATAGGTGAAATTACAAAAATCATAACGAAACAAGAACTATTCGGGCAAAATGACGATGACAGGAAATGGCGGTACCCTTCGTTAAATGAAATACACCCCAATCACCCATTCTAATAACCAACCTCAGCATCTAAGCATAAGGAAAACACAAAATGGGAATTCCAGAAGATAGCGCCATCTAGACGATGATTGCAAAACTAATGACAGTCAGGACACAATCCACGGCACAAGATTCAACGAGGCATTTTTTTCTAAGCAACGACAGATGGCATCCTTATCACCTAGGAAAAGCTACTACTTAGCTCACATAAAAACTAACACAAGGACTAATCAAGTTAAATGACGATGATCGGAATTGGCGCTACCCAATGGAAAAGTGGCATCACTGTATAAGCAAGGATCTCAACCAGTGCATAAAATTCAAGAAGGCAGCGTTTCTCTGCAATAATAGATGGCAGCCCCCATAATCTAGGACAGACTATTGCCCTATGCTCCAAGAGGAGTGTAAGTTATAACTCCTAATATCGTGGAGATTGCAAATAATATTATTTAAATATAAAAACTAATTGGCCAAATCTGCGATTTTGAGGAAAATATTTTCAAAGCACAAAAAACAGGCATTGCATTTAAAAAAAAAATATTTTTAAAGTCCAAAAAAGTTCTGTATACCAAAAAAAAAGATTATAGCCTTCAGGGAAGCCTCGGGCTGAAGAAATAATTCTTAAAGGACCACAAGAAAGCCTGGCTTCTGAGATTGGTTTAAAATGTAGCTTATGAATTTGAAAACAAACCGACAGGAATTCCAGGGTCTTCAACTAATATTTCAAAATTCAAAAACATATTTATAAAGGATCAATACGAGGGTGGCGTAGTGCAGTAGAAAGTCATACTACAAAGCCGTGTAAAAACTCTTTCAAAAACAGTTTTGTTATACCCTTCACCACACTATGGTACAGGGTATTGTGTCTTTGTGCATATGTTTGTAACAGGCAAAAGGAAACGAGATAGACACATGGTTCCTTTTGAGAATATGCATAGAATCACTTTCTGAGTCGATTTATGCATGTCCGTCAGTCCGTCTGTAGATGTTAAATTGTAAACAAAGTACAGGTCGCATTTATGATCCGATTTGGATGAAATTTGGCGCAGCTCACTTATTTGGCGCAAGGAAAATATTTTCAAAGCACAAAAAACAGGCATTGCATTTAAAAAAAAAATATTTTTAAAGTCCAAAAAAGTTCTGTATACCAAAAAAAAAGATTATAGCCTTCAGGGAAGCCTCGGGCTGAAGAAATAATTCTTAAAGGACCACAAGAAAGCCTGGCTTCTGAGATTGGTTTAAAATGTAGCTTATGAATTTGAAAACAAACCGACAGGAATTCCAGGGTCTTCAACTAATATTTCAAAATTCAAAAACATATTTATAAAGGATCAATACGAGGGTGGCGTAGTGCAGTAGAAAGTCATACTACAAAGCCGTGTAAAAACTCTTTCAAAAACAGTTTTGTTATACCCTTCACCACACTATGGTACAGGGTATTATGTCTTAGTGCATATGTTTTAGTGCATATGGTTCCTTTTGAGCATATGCATAGAATCACTTTCTAAGTCGATTTATGCATGTCCGTCAGTCCGTCTGTAGATGTTAAATTGTAAACAAAGTACAGGTCGCATTTATGATCCGATTTGGATGAAATTTGGCGCAGCTCACTTATTTGGCGCAAGGACCAACCCTATTGAAATTGAGAAAAATCGGTTCAGATTTAGATATAACTCCCATATATATTTTCGTCCGATTTAAGGTAAATGGGACACCAAAGTCCCTATATATCATTCGATTTGCACGAAATTTGGCATAGAGTATTGAATTAGGTCCTGAATGATGTGTGCTAAGTTTCGTGAAAATCGGTTCAGATTAAGATATAGCTCCCATATATAGTTTCGTCTGATTTATGGTAAATGGTCCACCAAAGTTCCTATATACCGTTCGATTTGCATGAAATTTGGCATAGAGTACTGAATTAGGTTCAGATTAAGATATAGCTCCCATATATAGTTTCGTCTGATTTATGGTAAATGGTCCACCAAAGTTCCTATATACCGTTCGATTTGCATGAAATTTGGCATAGAGTACTGAATTAGGTCCTGAATGATGTGTGCTAAGTTTCGTGAAAATCGGTTCAGATTAAGATATAGCTCCCATATATAGTTTTGTTCGATTCCATGTAAATGGGAAACCAATGTCCCTATATATCATTCGATGTGCACGAAATTTGGTACAGCGTACTAAATTAGGTCAAGAATGACGTGTGCCAAGTTTCGAAAAAATCGGGTCAGATTTATATATAGATCCCATATATAGTTTCGTCCGATTAAGGTAAATGGGTCTCGAAAGTTCCTATATATATTTCGATTTGCTCGAAATTTGGCATAGGGTACTGAATTGGGTCCAGAATGATGTGTGTTCGTGAAAATCGGTTCAGATTTAGATATAGCTCCAATATATCGCCTGCTTAACTTGTAAAGGCAACAAGTCTAAATTTCGAGAATTGAGATTTTGATACAGTTATGTATAAAGAGGCAAAATTCATCGATCTAAAAAAATAAAAATAGAGGAATCTCTTTTGTTATTGTTGTCGCTGGCTTAACATCATGTAAAGGCTGTAAGTCCACTTTTTGTTTTGAAGATTTTGGACATGATTTTCAGCTGAATTGACTGTAATTTGGCACAGTCCGACTTTACTAATTTCCTTACTGTTTTTTTTTTTTTTGATTTATTGTCAATTAATGAGGTTAGGAATGAAAGGAGCATAATCCTTTCATAGCATAATCAATTGTTATTCACATTGCAGACCTCTAGACGGTGTTTGTTTATAATCTATTTATAATCAATTGTCTTTTTTAACTAATTACAATAGCATTTTATTTCGTTCTATTCTTGGCTATAAACACATAAACATAAAAACATCTAAAGTTCGTGTCTTAAGTCTTTCGTATTACTTATTCTTTCTTAACAAATTTCCAATCACCTTTATGTCAATTTTTAATGACTTATCTATCGATAATATTGTAAATCATAAATTATAGTAACAACCGGCAAAGTCATCAATCAATTTAACATTTAAATACAACCAAGTCGACGAATCTTCGTCGTCATCGTGGACATCATTCAAATATAAGCAAAATTCAAAAAAAACCAAATCACACTTCTGTGGCACGACAAACCATCCAACCAAGCGAGATAGCTAGCCTCCCGACAAGTGTTGCACGAGTTAAACATTAAACAAATTCTCCTCCAAAAAAAACTTCAACTGAAAATTTGGACACGCGAAAATGATGATGAACTTGTGCTGGAAAAACGTTCGAGAGTAACCCAACAAAAAACAACAACACAAACAAACCGAACTACCTAGTCAAGTAATATTTAAAATAACTCAAGACTGCATAGTCAGTCATTAAGCCAGACAGTCAGTCATTATCCATAGTCAACTATTTTGAATGGGGGTATCTCTATGGCCACGACTGCTACCTGGTGCCAGAATATGCTGACGATGATGATGCTGCTGCTGCTGCTCCTATTTGGAGTTGATGGCGGTGGTGTTGGTGCTGCTGCTGGCAATGGTGTTTTGCCAAAAACCCAACCAGGGGGTAGAGACAACTTCAAAACATAAACATTGGCAACTTTAAACATTAGTCTGTGGTGATGATGTTGATGGTAATGCTGGTTATCCATCAGCAACTTCTTTCTGCTTCTTCTTCTATTTCTTCGTTGAATGGTTTGTTGTTGTCGGATCTGTGATACAGCATAACCCCCAAAGAAGCTACCAATCAATTACTGGGCAAAAAACTTCGACTTAAGTCGACATTCAATGTTTAAACACGTTGGTTTTGGTAGCTTCTTCTTCTTCTTCGTCTTCATCTGCTAGAGCAACAGGTCACTTATGGGGCTTTCCATGAAACATTTTTTGTTTACTGGCTGTTTCAAATTCTTAAGACGTTTAACATTTTTATTGTTTTTAGAGGCTTGTCTTTGAAATATCTTCTTTGAATTTGAACTTTTAATGTATGTGATGATGATTTTTTTGTTGGTTACTTTTGTTGTACGGATTTTGTTGTTGTTTGCAACCTGCTTGCTACTAC